CCAGAGCTGCTCTAGGGGTGTGAAGCCAGGCTGGATCCATCTGATTACCTAGTCGGTCCCTCGCGAAACCCGAGGCATCCTGCCTCGGCCAGGGCGCATGCATACATGCTAAATTGAGCAAGCCCAGGCGCCCTGATATAGGGCACCGCCATGCCCTCCCACCACCCACGACATGTCCAAGCCCAGTGCTCTGCTGCTGGGCCTAGCTCATCCTCATGTGGGCAAGCGGAGGCCTCAGCGGGCTCACCCCCTTGCTCAACTGGGGTCACGCTGCCAACCGCATGCACCTGGGATGTGAGCTAAGGTTCTGATTCCCAGGGAAGTGTAAGGACCAGAGGTCAAGGGCAACTTCTTGGTCATTTCTTAGGATGCTCTGAGTCTTTCCCTTAGCATCGTTTTCATCCATGCTCTGGATGAAGCTGAATCTGGAGAACCAACACAAGAGATCTGCAATTCTGCTTTAAGCAAGGAACTAAAAGCTACTTTTATTAAGTTGTGTGAAGATGTTTGAAATTGTAAGATTAAGTAAAATATCGGGGGTCACTGTGAGCCAGCTGTCGTTTTAGGTACATTATAGCCCTTAATTATTTAATCCTTGAAATTGCTTAATGAGACTGGTGTGGAGAGAGGACCGGAGTGTTGTGGGTTCCTTCCTTAAAGAGCGATGCCTCCGGACACATGGCTGTGGCTCAGGATGCCAGGAAATGGTGTTTCTTTGGCACAGCGGTAACTGTTTCCAAGTAGAGTCTTTCTCAGAAGCTGGAGACAATTGACATGTTCTGCACACAGTCAGGGAGTGTTTCTGACCCTGCTGGGAGAATTTCCTCCGGCTGTATTAGTCTCTTGTTTGAGACTTTAGGGGAACAGAGTAAGACATAACCATGGAAACTAACAGGCAATTAACTCCAGCCCTACTTGCTGATCTGGGTTAGAATTGCCCTGCTGGAAGCTCTTTTTGCACTTTCCTATCAAAGCCTGAGCGAGGCGAAAGTCATTGCACAGGGTCTGCACTCAGGTCCTGGCCAGTCAGCAAGTACAGTGGGAGAAAAAACTGCTCTGGTCAGGAGCCCTGGGCACCAGTCCCAGCCCCACTGTCTGACCTGTGTGATCTTGGGAAAGTCACTCTCCACCAGTCCATCTGAGCTCCAGCGTGGAAGTGGGATGACAATTTATGGCTGCCCTGGATTCTCGTGAGAATCATGAGTTAAAGTTTGTGCAGCATATTTTGTAAATAACATGTAAGTGTCAAGAGTTATTGCCCTTACTTTTTAAAAAAAGATTCTTTTTTGACAGGGATCATATTTAAAGCCTTTTTTGAGTTTGTTACAATATTACTTCAGTTTTGGTTTTTTGACTGAGAGGCTTGTGGGATCTTAGCTTCCTGACCAGAGATCGAACCTGTGTCCCCTGCCATTGCAAGGCAGATACTTAAGCACTGGACCACCTGGGAAGTCTCACCATTATAATCATTTTAGATGTATGGTTTGGGAACATTGCATGCATGCTAAGTCACTTTAGTCGTGTACGACTCTTTGTGACCCCCATCATGGACTGTAGCCCGCCGGGCTCCTCTGTCCATGGGTTCTCCAAGCAAGAATACTGGAGTGGGTTGCCATTCCCTTCTCCAGGGGATCTTCTCAACCCAGGGATCGAACCCTGGTCTCTTACATCTCCTGCATTGGCAAGCATGTTCTTTATTACTAGCACCACTTGGGAAGCCCTAAGGGTCATAGAAAGAAAGTGAAACTGAAAGTCGCTCAGTCGTCTTTGTTAGTTCCATGTTCCTAATTTTCCCTCCTTTCCTTCCTTTTTAAGTCTGAATAATTTTCCATGGTATGTATATACCATGTTTTGTTTGTCCATTTATCTGATAATGGACACTGTGATTGCTTTTGCCTTTTGGCTGCTGTGAACAACGTTGCTATGAATGTGGATGTACAAATATCCGTTCAAGTCCTGGATTTCCATTCGTTGGAGTTTAATCTCATTTGCTGAATCAGTTGGTGATTCTGTGATTAACTTTTTGAGAAATTGCTTTACCACTTTCCATAGCAGCTGCCCCATTTTACATTTCCGTCACAAGGATTCAAGTTATCCGTAACCTCCTAAACTTTTGTTATCTTCTGGCTTTCCCCCATTCATTGTAGCCATCATAATGAGTGTGAAGTGGTCCCTCCTTGTGGTTTTAATTCACAGTTCCTTGATGACTAATAGTGTTGAGCCTCTTCTCATGTGCTTATTGGCCATTTGTGTATCTTCTATGGAGAAATGTCTTTGCCCAAGTTCTCTGCCCTTCCTCTTCTTTAAAAAATGTTTTCTTATTTTTACAGGTGCTTTTTACCAGTTCTTCCTTTATCTTAAGTCTGTTTATTATTGTGCTCTTTAACTTTTTTGTCCTCCTCTTTCAATCATTTTCCTTTGGGGGTACATGATGCTTATTTGACCATTTTTTATTTCAGGATGTTGTCCTTCTCAGGGCTTCCCTGGTAGCTCAGTTGGTAAAGGATCCGCCTGCAATGATGGAGACCTGGGCTTGATCCTTAGGTTGGGAAGATCCCCTAGAGGAGGGAATGGCTACCCACTCCAGTATTCCTGCCTGGAGAATTCCACGGACTGTATAGTCCTTCTCAGGAGTGTGGCTCCTGTGGCCTGTGGGTTCAGGACCCCATAGCAATATCAAAGCCAGGTCTGCATCAATCGCACAGTCTAAAGGCAGGGGAGGGTTTGAACTGGAGGGATCAGGTTTTGCCATCCCAAAGTTGCCATGTTGACATAAGAATTATTTTGAGCTGAAAGCATTTGAGTTCCTGAAATTCCTTATCTGCCTGAAAGAACTTGATTGTCATAAATCCCTTCCCGAGAGCAACTGGAATTTTTTTTTCTTAGAGACTATCCCCAGCCAGATGTTGTCCAAAATCATTGTATATCCATCTAGTCCTCTGCAGGCCCATTTATCTTTCCAAAAAGTCATTTCCTTCTCCCAACATGTCCTTTTGCCCCCATCCCTTTCCCCAGCTAAGTTAGATATATAGACCCCAAAATTTTAACCCCACTTTGAATTACTCACTTCCAGGTACTCCCATGTGTGTGCGTGATATTAACACACAAGCTAGTACTCTTCCATTGATTTTCCTCTTTGTTAATCTGCCCGGTTCAAAGGCCCAGACAGAGCGCCTAGGAGGAGAGAGGGAGACGGAATTCTCTCTCTCCTACAGAGCCCGGGGTGTCGAGGTCCAGGTCCCATGAGCCTCTCTCCCTGATGCCCTGGTCAGGGTTGTATCTGACTCTCAGCAGCTTTGGGAAGGGCCTGTCTCCCCAGATTCCTCACTTGGGAGTGCTTGGGGGTGATGCCTAAGACTGGGGATCTGTCCTGTCCTGATTTTCTCCTGTCTTCACCCCAACAAATGTCATGCAGTGTTCTGCTTCTTTCTCAGAGACCAGGAGCAGGGCCTGGCCTGGAAAATGATTGAAATGATTGAAAATGATTGAAAGAGGAGGACAAAAAAGTTAAAGAGCACAATAATAAACAGACTTAAGATAAAGGAAGAACTGGCAAAAAGCACTGGTAAAAAGAACTGGTAAATAATCCTCAGTGATTATTCCAAGGGTCACAGAACAGCAGGCAGAGCAGAAGGTAAAAGTGCCCCAACTATTGTACCAAGTGCAACCAAGTACCTCTCACTGCCAGCTCTGGGGACTTCCAGCACCCCAGTGCCAGCCCCTCTCCCACCAGTAAGAACAGAAAATCTGCCCCCAAACCCGGCCTGGACCACACCTACTGCCTACCCTAGTATGACTCCGTGCTACTTCTCTATCTTCATTAACTTTATTTTTTATCTTTTAATATTTATTTGGCTGCGCTGTGTCTTAGTTTTGGCATGTGGGATCTTTAAGCTACGGCATGCAAACTCTTAGCTGCAGCATGTGGGATCTAGTTCCCTGACCAGGGATCCAACCTGGGGGCCCCCTGCATTGGGAGTGTGGAGTCTTAGCCACTGGACCCCTAGGGAAGTCCCTGTCTTCATTAACTTTATCTTTCCAGGGGTCTCCAGCCCACACAATTGCACGATTGTTCTTAGAGAAATTTTTAGAAAGACTATTGATTTTTCAATGGAAAACATCAGGAGCCAGCTTGTGCCCTAAAATCCTTTGAATTCTTTGCCCCAGAATCCTCATCTCATTTCTACCACCCCTGGACTGTTGAGTCATAGTCCCTGCCTTATCCTAGTCAAGTTTTTCCCATTCGGAAGGCTCGCTTTAAATCAGCTTCCAATGCTCTGTAAGGTTTGGTAACGTCCTCCCGCCTCTTGAGACACTGCCGACCATTGGAAGGTGATGTTCCCTTTGCTGCAGTGGTGAGAAAAATCATGGTCATCTTCTCAGCATGTTTTGTGTGGAGGATGTTTGAGGGGAAGCTTTGACAGTGGGCATCACTTAAGTTGATCTTTGATTTTCTAAATCTTTTTGATCTCACTGTTCTTGTTGTTTGTTCCTCTGATCTTTCTCTAGCTCTGTAGATTCTCCAGGTTAATTTTAGGGGAGGGAGTGCCAGGCACTGATAGTTTGCCATCCTGACATGACTTTCCTTCCTGCATCAAATCGCTTGCGTCAAAGGGAATTCACGTTGCTACTGACAGATTTGTCCAGGACAGCGGGCCAGTGTCTGGCATTGTACCCTGACAGTTTCTGGGCTTTTTAAGTCAAAACCCCCACTTCTGTTTTGTGTTTTCCCATGTCTGACCCCAAAATCTTTTTTTTTTTTTTTTTTTTTTCACAAAAAAAAGAACACACACTTTTAATCACATAAAATACAATAAAAACATATTGGGGGATTATATTTGAGTAACAAAAAATATCCAAAGGCTTCCCGACAGAAGGTGCTTATTCTTACATGGAAACAAAACACCTTTCCCACATTGTTCACATTTGACAGGATTACTGTCCAGTGTGAATATTTTCACTTGCACATGAGATGACGTGAAGGTTTTCCTGAGTATTTTTCACTCACTGGATGTCTCTAAAGTATGGGTTCTTAAATGTTTATTTATATATGATTGATATCTATAACTTTTACCACATTGATGACATTGATATGGTTTCTCTCCAATGTGACTTTTCTGATGTATTTTAAGAGAACTGGCATTAATGAAGGCTTTCTCACATTCTTTACATTTATAAGGACCATCTCCAGTATGTGTTATCATGTGTTTCTGGAAGTAATAGTTAAATATGTAGGATTTTCCACATTCCTTACACTCATAGGGTTTTTCTCCAGTGTGGATTCTTTCATGCTTTTGAAGAGAGCTTGCAGAAATCAATACTTTAGAACATGTTTTACATACATATGTCATCTCTCTTATGTGATGTCCTTTGTGTTCCTTTAAGGAAGTCAAATAATTGAAGGCTTTACCACACTGGTTACACTCATAGGGTTTCACTCCTCTGTGAATTCTTCCATGAATTTGAATACTTTTAGGACTTTTAAAGGCTTTTCCACATTGTTTACATTGACAGGATTTCTTTCTAGTGTGACTCCTTTCATGCTTTCGAAGATCACTGAAAATAATGAATGCTTTCTCACATTTCTGACATTTAAAAGGTGAATCTCCAGTGTGTGTTACCATGTGTGTTTGAAAAGTTATTTTCTGTAAGAAGGTTTTCCCACATTCTTTACATTCATAAGGTTTCTCCCTGGTGTGAGTTCTTTTGTGTTGCTGGAAACAGTTTTGAGATAGAAAAACTTTTCCACATAGTAGACACTCATAGGGTTTCTCTCCAATGTGACTCCTTTCATGTGTTTCAAGAGAACTGGAATTACTGAATGCTCTTTCACATTCCTTACATTTATAAGGGCCATCTCCAGCGTGTATTATCACGTGTTGTTGGAGGCTTTCATTTAATCTGTAGGCTTTCCCACACTCCTTACACTCATAGGGTTTTTCTCGAGTGTGGATTGCCTCATGCTTTCGAAGAGAGCTGGCACAAGTCAATGCTTTAGAATATGTTTTAGATACATATGGTGTCTCTTCTGTGTGAAGTCTTTTGTGTGCCTTTAAGGAATACAAACAATTGAAGGTTCTACCACACTGGTTACATTCATAGTATTTTTCTCCCTTGTGAATTTTTTCATGTATTTGAATACTTCGAGGAGTTTGAAAGGTTTTTCCACATTGTTTACACTGATAGGGATTCTCTCCATTGTGACTCCTTTCATGATATTGATAATGGCTGAAAAAAATGAATGCTTTCTCACATTTCTCACATTTATAAGGTAACGCTCTAGTGTGTGTTACCATGTGTTTTAGAAAACTTATTTTCCACATAAAGGCTTTCCCACATTCTTTACATTCATAGGGTTTTTCCCCCGTGTGAGTTCTTTTGTGTAGTAGGAAAGATTTGTTATATGGAAAAACTTTTCCACATTGTAAACATTCATAAAATTTCTTTCCAGTGTGACTCCTTTCATGTAGTTTGAGAGCAGTGGGAGAAACTAATGCCTTCCCACATTCTTTACACTTATATAACTCCTCAGGGTCCCCTTGATGCTCTCTTGGTTTGCCCTCAACATGACATTTCATGTGTCCAGTAAGTGATGAATACTTCGTGAAGGTTTTTCCACATCGATTGCATTTCCATGATTTTAAATCATGAGTCTTTTTCTTCATTTTGAGAGCTGGAGCAGGATTTTCTTCGAAGGAACTAATGTCCTTATTCTCAGGCAGTTTCCCTCTCGTAGGACTTCTTAATTTTTTCCCATGGTTTTTCTCCAAATCTTCAATGTCGTGATCTTGTTTTTCCGCTACTGATGCCAGATTCCTGATATTTTCCAACATCACGTCTCTGTAGAGTTTCTTCTGTGAGGAATCCAGTAAAACCCACTCCTCCTGGGTAAAATTCACAACCACATCCTCAAAGACCAATGAGTCCAATTAGATGTGAAGATCATCCTCATTCACTGTTGTTGCTGTTCAGTCGCTACGTGGCGACTGTGAGTCCCACTCTGTAACCCCCAAGGACTGTACTATTCCAGGCTCCATGGGAGTGCTCCAGGCAAGAATACTAGAGTGTTTTGCCATTTCCTTCTCCATGGAATCTTCCCAGACCAGGGATCCAACTGGAGGCTCCTGGAAATTTCCACGGACAGAGGAGCCGGGGGGCAACAGTAGTCCATGGGGTCTCAAAGAATCGGGCACGATCGAGAAACATTTCCAGGTGCTCGCAAGTTGCTCTGAGTCCCTCCTAAGAGCTCCAAAGACCTCCGCAGATCGCAGGGCTTCTGAACCTAAGAGGGACCAAAAAAAAAAAAAAAAAAAAAAAAACTGACCCCAAAATCTAACTGATCATGATTCGAATTTCAGTTTCAATCTGGAGGGAAATTAGTGAATCACGTAACTAAAACATGATGGTGATCCAATAGTGGTTAATAATGCCAGCTTATGGATGTGAGAGTTGGACATAAAGAAAGCTGAGTGCCGAAGAATTGATGCTTTTGAACTGTGGTGTTGGAGAAGACTCTTGAGAGTCCCTTGGACTGCAAGGAAATCCAACCAGTCCATCCTAAAGGAGATCAGTCCTGAGTGTTCACTGGAAGGACTGATGCTAAAGCTGAAACTTCAATACTTTGGCCACCTGAAGTGAAAAGCTGACTCATTGGAAAAGACTCATGCTGGGAAAGATTGAAGGCAGGAGGAGAAGGGGATGACAGAGGATGAGATGGTTGGATAGCATCACTGACTCAATGGACATGAATTTGGGTAAAACTTCGGGAGTTGGAGATGGACAGGGAGGCCTGGCATGCTGCAGTTCATGGGGTTGCAAAGTCGGACATGACTTAACAACTGAACTGAACTAATGCCAGCTTAATTATTCCTTCTTTTTGTGACTATTTTAAAAATATGAAGTCTGTAGGCAGTGAATAATTATATACTGGTAGATGTTTCAGAGGTTTAAAACTGTCTTATTTTCTAATTTTAGGTATCTGGTTAGTGTAATGGGCATTTTTATTCCTATGCAGTTAGAAAGTCAAGTATTTACACAAATTAAATATGGTATTGAAATCGTGGCTGTTTCAGCTTATAGTTACTGACTATGATAGCCCTGGGGCTTCCCTCGTAGCTCAGTTGGTAAAGAATCTGCCTGCAACGCAGGAGACCAGGGTTCAATTCCTGGGTTGGGAAGATCCCCTGGAGAAAGAAATGGCAACCCACTCCAGTATTCTTGCCTGGAGAATCCATGGACAGAGGAGCCTGGCGGGCTACAGTTTGTGGGGTCACAAGAGTCGGACATGACTTAGTGACTAAAACACCACCACACAACAGCGCTGGCCATTCCACTCCTGCTCAGGCTCAGTCTTAACTTACTTGGACCTGACACTGGAGAAAAGACAAGGTCACATTTGGTATTTGGAGCCAGGCATACCTAAGTTCACAACCTGGCTGTGTCCCCCAGTAGGCTCGATACAAATCAAGGTATGACCTTCCTGATCCTGGGTTTCCTTGACTGTGATGAAATTATTTGTATCTGATAGGGTTTTCAGCAGGATCTTTGCTATTATTGTTTGGCTATTGCTGCTTTGGGAGATGAGATGATTCACTGGAGAGTGGGGACAAATATCAGCACTTCCATTTATATTTACTTTTCATCCTGTTTGAACATTCTATTTTCAGTTTACTTGTTACAGTGTGCAGAATGTGGTGCGTGCGTGCTAAGTCACTTCAGTCATGCCTGACTCTTTGTGACTCTATGGACTGTAGTCCCCTAGGCTCCTCTGTCCATGGGAATTCTCTGGGCAAGAATACTAGAGTGGGTTACCAAGCCCCCCTCCAGGGGATCTTCCAGACCCAGGGAATCTTTCTGACCCAGGGATCAAACCTGGCCCTTTTTTTTTTTTTCCATTTATTTTTATTCGTTGGAGGCTAGTTACTTTAAAATATTGTAGTGGTTTTTGCCATACATGATTCAGCCATGGATTTACATGTGTTCCCCATCCCGATCCCCCCTCCCACCTCCCTCTCCATCCCATCCCTCTGGGTCTTCCCAGTGTACCAGCCCTGAGCACCCGTCTCATGCATCCAACCTGGGCTGGTGATCTGTTTCACCCTTGATAGTATACTTGTTTCAATGCTGTTCTCTCTGAACATCCCACCCTTGCCTTCTTCCACAGAGTCTAAAAGACTGTTCTGTACATCTGTGTCTCTTTTTCTGTTTTGCATATAGGGTTATCGTTACCATCTTTTTAAATTCCATATATATGCGTTAGTATACTGTATTGGTCTTTATCTTTCTGGCTTACTTCACTCTGTATAATGGGCTCCAGTTTCATCCATCTCATTAGAACTGATTCAAATGATTTTTTTTAATGGCTGAGTAATATTCCATAGTGTATATGTACCACAGCTTCCTTATCCATTTGTCTGCTGATGGGCATCTAGGTTGCTTCCATGTCCTAGCAATTATAAACAGTGCTGTGATGAACATTGGAAACCCAGCCCTTTTATGTCTCCTGCATTGGCAGGCAGGTTCTTTACCACTCGTGCCAGTGGGGAAGCTCCACATAATGTGGTGATTTAGTCTTCTTCAGTTCAGTTCAGTTGTGTCTAACTCTTTGTGACCCCATGAACCACAGTGCGCCAGGCCTCCCTGTCAATCACCAACACCCAGAGTTTACCCAAACCCATGTCCGTTGAGTCAGTGATGCCATCCAACCATCTCATCCTCTGTCATCCCCTTCTCCTGCCCTCAATCTTTCCCAGCATCATGGTTTTCCAATGAGTCAGCTCTTCGCATCAGGTGGAGCATTGGAGTTTCAGCTTCAGCATCAGTCCTTCCAGTGAACACTCAGGACTGATCTCCTTTAGGATGGACTGCTTGGATTTCCTTGCAGTCCAAGGGACTCTCAAGAGTCTTCTCCAACACCATAGTTCAAAAGCATCAATTTAAAAAAAAAAAGTCTGTTCTGTACATCTGTGTCTCTTTTTCTGTTTTGCATATAGGGTTACTGGGGCTGGTGCACTGGGAAGACCCAGAGGGATCGGGTGGAGAGGGAGGTGGGAGGGGGATCGGGATGGGGAATACATGTAAATCCATGGCTGATTCATGTCAATGTATGGCAAAAACCACTACAATATTGTAAAGTAATTAGCCTCCAACTAATAAAAATAAATGGAAAAAAAAAAAGCATTAACTCTTCTGCGCTCAGCTTTCTTTATAGTCCAACTCTCACATCCATACATGACCATTGGAAAAACCATAGCCTTGACAGGATGGACCTTTGTTGACAAAGTAATGTCTCTGCTTTTTAATATGCTGTGTAGGTTGGTCATAACTTTCCTTCCAAGGAGTAAGCGACTTTTAATTTCATGGCTGCAGTCACCATCTGCAGTGATTTTGGAGCACCCAAAAATAAAATCAGCCACTGTTTCCACTGTTTCCCCATCTATTTGCCATGTGCTTATCAGTTTATAAAAGATAAATGTGCATTTATTGAAGATGCATAGTCTAAATATTTTACGGATGGACCACACATTAAAAAAATTGGGTGATCACTGCTCTGGACTGTCTGATCTCTCTGGTCATCCTGTTTTGAGTCGCAGATTAGTACTCAGAAATCCTTTCTTATTGTCCCAATCAGCCCTTCAAGAGTGTAGGTGTCAGCAGTTGGGCGATCAGGAGGTTGAGCTTCTGGGTCTGAGGAGGTGAAAGCTGGTCCACTTTCCTGCACAAATGCATAGCCCTACTGACCAGCCTGACACCCTCAGCGAGATTTCCAACGTTATTTCAGGTCTCTGGTTCTAGTTCTGACTGCACCTAGACCTGACTTAGCCACTTCTTGATCCTTTCTCTATAACCTATAGGGAAAGCAGATAAAAAATTCAGTTTGAATGTAGAAAGTTTGAAAAATACATTTAGAAAATTTGATGTAACATATATCAAGATATAGAAAGCTGCATCTCACAAATAGATGGTATTATATCCTTTTAGTCTTTTAAAAAAAGCTTTATACTATGGAAAATTTCTAAAATGTACAGCAATGGAAAGAATAGCTTAACAAGTGCTCGCGTGCATATCACCAGCTTCAACAAGTTATCTACTCATGGCCAATCCTATTTCATCCGTCCCTACCCACTCTCCTATTTTGGATTATTAAAAAAATTAAAAAAAAAATCTTTTGGCCACATCTCTGGAATAGATGGGGAAACAATGGAAACAGTGACAGATTTTATTTTTTTGGGCTCCAAAATCACTGCAGAAGGTGACTGCAGCCATGAAATTAAAAGATGCTTGCTCCTTGGAAGAAAAGTTACAACCAACCTACACAGCATATTAAAAAGCAGGGGCATTACTTTACCAACAAAGGTCCGTCTAGTCTAAGATATGGTTTTTCCAGTGGTCATGTATGGATGTGAGAGTTGGACTATAAAGAAACCTGAGCATCGAAGAATTGATGCTTTTGAACTATGGTGTTGGAAAAGACTCTTGAGGGTCCATTGGACAGCAAAGAGATGCAACCAGTGAATCCTAAAGGAAATCAGTCCTGAATATTCATTGGAAGGACTGATGTTGAAGCTGAAACTCCAATGCCTCCTGATACGAAGATCTGATTCCCTGGTGGCTCAGATGGTAAAGCGTCTGCCTGTAAAGCAGGAGACCCTGGTTCAATCCCTGGGTGGGGAAGATCCCCTGGAGAAGGAAATGGCAACCCACTCTAGTACTCTTGCTTGGAAAATTCCAAGGATGGAGAAGCCTGGTGGGCTACAGTCCATGGCGTCAGAAAGAGTCAGACACAACTGAGCGACTTCACTTTCTTTCTTTTCTTTTGATGGTGGGAAAGATT